ATTCCTGAGGACTCTCGGGGGCTGTCCTTAAATTGCCTCTTGATCAGCCATATCAGTCAGACGTAAGGCTCTTTGCACGCGAGGATAAGGAACGGGCAGGCTGGTCATAAGCATACACCTTGGGCACAGGGTGGGCTGTTAATGCACATCTTACACACTACCGCTTGATGATGTTCACAGGTACTTTGGATACAGGGGAAGGAGATTCATATTGAGGACTCAACTGGCAAACACTATCATACCCATTGTGCATGCAGCTGCTCACATTAGTTTATTTTTATTTTAATTAGTTGGTTGACAGACTGCTGACACCTAACATACAGCCTAGAGTAGGACTGGTATATTCTACCATAATCAGTTCTTCTCAAAGCTTCTGTAGAGAACTTGTCAGGATAGAAGTAGACTATGTGTACAGTCTGTGTAGATGCTGTTGACGCCGCTTGAATGGTAGTGTAGGTAACTCGCCGGATAATTATTATTTTTAACACCAGCCAGACGCATGCTGCGGTAGGTTCCAGCGAGAGTCCCAGTGCAAATAGCGTCTGCCTAGCCGATGGGTGGATCAGCCGGGGGTGAAGGTACAAATGACGATAGGAGGCAGACACGACGGGACATAGGCAGGATATCCGTAGTGTTCCAGGTCCTACTACCAGGAGACGAAAAAAGACTAAGGGTTGAAGCAAGTGCCCGTAATCTAGAGACTGCAAGGGAAGCAGCAGCGGCTGTGGAAAGAGCATTGGCAGCAGCAGCAGCCAGTGTGGTAGCAATGGCCACCTCTGCAACATCGTTTGCTGCAAACTCCCTCGACATGCCGCAGGGATGGTCCCTCTCACAGTCCGGCTCCTGTACGTCATGAGCTGGCTTTAGTCAAATGGCGGGCGTGCAGTCCAGCTCGCCGCCTCACCTTACGAGGGAGCAGATGGAGCTCCGGCGGGTAGAGAGGATCCGCTTAAGGTTAGAGGAGGAACTTAAAAGGCTACTGACAGAGAGAAAGATATTAGAGATAGAAGTGTCATACTAGAGGGTAGGGAGGCAGACAAAGTCGCATTAGAGGGGTTAGATGACTCAGGCCTTGACAACACAGCAAGGGTCTTCAAGGCGAGCATCCTGTCCATGCATGCATACATGGACAGCAAGCTGGACGCTATCCAGGACACCCTGGACCAGATCTTGAATGCCATGCACAGRCCAGAAACCCGGCCAGCAGCTTTGCCATCGCTGCYATTCTCAGCGATGACAGGCCCCTATGCCCCTCAGTCCAGATCACCACCAAGCGGTACTTCARCAGCAGCCCTATCTCTGACTGTTGCTTCTTCATCTTCTGGTTCAGCGGYGGGTGCTACACCYCAACCGCTACCTATCTCACCAGTGGGATAGCAGGAACCATGGTACCCCAAGACCCCACTGAAGCCACCCACCACCTTCTCAGGAGATAAGAAGGAGGAGGCTCTTGACACTTGGTTGAGAACGGTTCSAGTGTGGGTTAGGGCGAAGRGGACGCTGGTAGAGGACGAGGTGATAACTGCTGCATCCTACTTAGAGGGTTCARCCGCTCGATGGCTTAATGGATTGGTGGCTTCCAAGGGATTCGGTAGGAACATGGGTGATTGGGCCAAGACCCACACCCTACAGAGCTCTATGGATCTGGTAGAGGCGCGGTGGCATAACCCTCAGCAGGCGCAGATAGCCACTTATGGGTTATTGAAACTTGATGCTAGGAAGTACAAGTCGGTGCGCAAGCTCACTACAACCGTAGAGCGTTTGATTATCGTCCCAGGCGTCGAGTACAATCCACATGTTACGGACTCCGCCAGGGCTCGATCCCTGGTCTACTTTTTGTTGTTTCTGCTGCATCCCGTTTTTGGCTTGGCACCCTTTTTCCAACCCCCTCCTTTGGTACCGTCGGATTTTGGACAACTGGCGCCATGCTGCAATTCGGGCGCCACTTTCAAATACCGCATTTTTCAGTTCTGCCCTCGGGGCTTTTGCAGAAATGCCCCTGGTACCGTTCGTGTCCCCGGTACTTATACCGGCTCCCCGTATGGTATGGGGACAAGTCTCGTACCAGTTTTCAGCTGCTGTACTCGTACTCAGTGTGACTTGCTCCTTCCGCATTCGGAATCCAAGACTTTGACTTTGTGTCCTTGCCACTGTGTCTGTGTCCGACCCTCCGACGTGTCAAGTGAGTGAGTGTGTGTGTGTGCTCTCACTCTCTCCCTCTCTCTCCCCTCCCCCTCAGCTCTCCTTGTCTCCCTCAGCCTCGCGCTCGTTACACTGGTATCGGAGCGGTCTTTCGACCCTCCCCCTCCGTCGTCGTCACCGGCGCCATCATCGTCGTCACCTCGGGCGTTGCCACGCCATCATCATCATCGTCGTGATCGTCGTCATCGTGCCACATCATCATCGCCGCTGTGCTCGTCATCATTGCGCCACGTCACCAGCGTCTTGCCCGTCGTCCTTGTCTGAGCTGCGCCTTCCTTGACACCGTCGTCGTTGCCTATCAAGCGCAGAGAAGTTATCAACGACATTTTTTTTTTTCTTCTATTCTTCTTCTTCTTCTTCTTCTTCTTCTTCTTCTTCTTCTTCTTCTTCTTCTTCTTCTTCTTCTTCTTCTTCTTCTTCTTCTTCTTCTTCCTCTTCGTCGCGTCTACCCCAACTCCGACCACCTCCCACCCGCGTGCTGTCCTTTCCCCCCCGCGCACGTCGTTCTTCCCCCC